AGGATTCGCAGGAACCGCGCCTAGTCCTACTGCCAATTCCATCCCTATTGGCTCGATGAGTCTGGCGTCGAGGTATAATACCCCTAAGAGTGTTATTGTTGACTTGCCTGACGTGGAGGAGGAGCAAGGCAATGGGAAGGTTGCCGAGGGAGATGGGGATGTGCGTGTTACAGGCGTTGATGCGGTAGATGAGGTGCAGGCTGGTCAGAAGATGGACGTGGACGCATGATTGAAAAGCATTGCTCCTCATTTTTTCCTAGGTAGCCTTTTCCATTACCTCCTCCCTCTGAACCCCTCACGCTACATTTCCCGTTGCTTTGATTTTGTTACCACTTTTGTTCGTCCTTGGATATTTTTTCTATCATCCACCCTCCTTTTATCGTATTATTATTGGAGTTTGAGCTCCTTCACAGTCCTTCCATTGTTTATTTTGCTTCCTTTATTTTTCATCCCTTTTTTAAATTTGCGCACATATCGTTTCCATTGCTCTCGCCTGCTCACCTCTCACCCGCCCTTCAACCTCAAAGCACATACATCATGCATCATACCGTCCCAGACCGCGGATTCACTTCTTTCCCTCCCAATACCTTACTGTTACACTATAGTCACCCTTTCTTGGTCTTATCCCATCAATTCCCTCCTATACATCCATACATACACGCACCTTACTCTTCTTGCCACAGCCATTCTCCCAACTTCTTGTCCTAGTGGACGAAGGTGTCAGTGCAGTGACACAGTCACTTGATTTTTTTATATCAAGACTGACGAGCTTGCCTAATCCCCGTGCTCATCGCGACACAATCGCGGGGGTTTTCTCTCCCACTTTCTTTCGCTACTTTTCATTTCATTTTAGATACATTTATGGCACCATTATCCATACCCGCCTTTCCGTGTAAAATAGGTTGTGTATACAATTTTCTCATTGCCCTAGCTCGTTTCTCTTTTGCCCTCCTATTCATTTGCCTATGTGATGTTGTGCTCTCATAGCATCAACACTGCACACCTTTGTAGAAAGAAACCAGCTCAGCCGCTTCTTTCAGGGTTGGAAGTATTTTTGGTGAGCAGTGAACGCCAGTGTCAGCACTTGCTCGGCGTTTTCTTGTCTTTATGCAGGAACCAATGCTGGAGATAACGTTAGTTAGTCCCGTCCGTCTGATTTCGTGTCTTTCCTCAGAGTACATGGTCTCTTCAAATCCGGGTTCTCCTCGCCCATGTGAGTATTTCTAGCTTTCCTTGCGCTATCTAGATTCTGAAACAATGGTTTAGACGACCAATAATAGCGTTGTTGCAAGGTTGCTATTGTACCCTCACGATATTCATCATGTGCGGGGTAGAGGATCTCCACCGCCCATCTCCCCTGCTGCGATTATCTACATCGATAGGTTGTGGGTTGATCAGATTGACAGGTACATTTACTTCTGGAACAAAAGCAACGGATATATAAAGACACGAGGAGCGCCCGAAACGGCATCGCCCTGACTTGATGTGCTGTTGCTTCACCTATTTGATGGCTGTTTACCTGATTCTTCGACCTCGGAGATGATGAAATCTGGGGAGCAGACATATAAAGGTGCGATTCGTTGATTGTGATTTGTGAACAGCGTCATCCCCTCATCAGACAGCTCTCTCTATATCTTTCTTCCACTCACTCAAGGTCTCTTCAAAACTCATCCCAACTTCATATCCAAACCATGCCCAGACGTAACTGGCGACCAAAGAAGGAGAAAGACGATAAGAATGACAAGGCTGACAAGGTCGACAAGAACGAAAAGCCTGAAAAGCCGGAGAAGACTCTCAAGAAACCTTTGATCACTGGTACGGGCCCTAAGAAGAACCCCACGCCTCCCCCTAGAGCGACCCAAGTCGGCCTGCTCGTTACTGCAGAGCTCGAACAGGCCATCGCGGATTGCAAGGCGAAGGTCGACCGTATCTCCAAGCAATGCCGGGCAAAGAACCGTCGCTTCAGGTGCGCAATCATTCATAGTCTTGTTTCACATCACAGCCTCGGTTGATGCCTGATGTGTTGATCGTGATGAAGTTGTCGACCAACTTATTTTTGCCAAGGTCTGGTGACATACGAGGTTGTAGGTGGATCGACTCTCAACCCGTTATGATCATACATATTTCATCTTCCTAGATCGCCTATATCTGTTTTACCTGATAAGATGACTAACTTCATTCGTGTAGGGATATCGAATTCGATCTCGAGAACGACAAGTCTCGATGCCTTTATGGAATCCTCGTGGGAGAGAGCGAAGATTACTCTCCTTCAGACGTGCAGCGCGTCACGCAGATTTTCGACAAGCCTCAGTTCTTTGCTGAAGGAGGGGCTGATGCTACAAGTGTAGCTCAAGGCGCACTCGGCGACTGCTGGTTCATTTCTGCGCTTGCTACGGTTTCGACATTCCCGGGGTTGATCGAAAAGATCTGTGTGGCGGTGCGTTTGACCACGACGAGACTTGGTTGTGGGATCTGATCTGACGGCCTTTCCGTTTAGCGCGATGAACTCGTCGGTGTTTACGGGTTCCTTTTCTTCAAGGATAATGCATGGACGAGTGTCATTATTGACGAGTATGTCTGAACTCATAATGAACGATGTCCTTTGGCTGATGTATCGTTTTAGCATGCTCTACACCCGCGTTCCCAAGTACGAAGAGCTCAAATATGAAGAAAAGGAACTCTACCACTTTGATAAGGATTTCTTCAACCAGGCTGCTAGGAAGAACGGGAAAACGCTTTATTTCGCCAAGTCTGGAGCATCTGGGGAAACTTGGGTGCCTTTGATCGAAAAGGCCTACGCCAAACTTCACGGAAATTACTCGTCCCTCAAAGGAGGAGAAGAGGCCGAAGCTATCGAGGATCTGACTGGGTTTGTGATCAACAATAACATCCGCGCGCGCATCATCTGATCCTTCAATAGTGGAGTCTCTACCACCTTCCTCAGCAAAGACATTTTAGATGTCGATGTGTTTTGGAAAGAGGAACTCTGCCGCGCCAATGAAGACCGTCTCTTCGGATGTGCCTTTGGCGAGATCGACAAGTCTCGCAGTGGTGCGATGGGTACCGTTCCTGTTCAGGGCTTGTTTGGAGACCATGCCTACTCTGTCCTCCGTGCAGTTGAGTGTAATGGAAAGCGATTTGTCATCTGTCGCAACCCATGGGGTGCCTCGGAATGGACTGGTCGATGGTCTGATGGCTCCAAGGAATGGACGCACGAGTGGCTTGCGCAACTCCCCAAACTCAAGCACCAATTTGGTGATGATGGCCAGTTCCTCATGGAATGTACGTCCTTCTGAATTACTGAACCCTCCTTGTTGTGATTCAAGGTTTCTCCAGATTCCGACTGGCTCGCCACATTCTCTCAAATCGACCGGACGATTATATTTGATTCTTCGTGGTCGATGTCGTCCGAGTGGTTACGCGTTCCCGTTGCTCCGCCACCTGCTCCTTGGTCATTTGGAGATGTGTCATGTAAGCCGTCTGCGATATTCCATGCGAAGTATACAGAAACCTCATGCGCCTTATAGACACTTTTGAAGTTGAGAAGCCCACAAAAGCTATCATCGTCCTCTCTCAGCTCGACGAACGCTACTTCCGGGACTTGATTGGAACGACGGAGTGGACTCTTGATTTTGTCGTTGTAAAAGAAGGGGAGGAGGAACCCATTGCAGAGTCGAATCATTCACAGTTTTGGCAACGCAGCGTCAATGCCGACATTGAATTAGAAGCTGGGAAATACTACGTATACGTATGTCCGGAGGTCTACGCTCATTTCAACGGTCACACTAACTTGCGATTCATTGCAATTGATTCTATAGGCTCGTCTGGACAGAACGTTTGTTGGTGAAGTCAGTATTTAAAGCGCACCCTGAATTTATGTGACTAAGGCTCATTGATATTGCAGGACCGTCCCAGCATTGTTCCTCCAGCAGTCACTCGTAAATTATCCAGAGTACTTGCTCGGCGTGCTGCGAGCCAATCCATTGCATCCAGTGAGTATTGAACCCTGAATCACAGAAGCAATACCCGATGATCACGATCTATTAGACTTCGACTTTGTGTTCGTATTCTAATTTTGATGTCTCGTGTGATGCTGACTTTTCCTTACAGAGCAAATGGAAGATATCTTCCCACTACTCTCAAAAGCATGGTCAAAAGCGATCTGAACCCCGACCCCACTGATGGAATGGTATCGGATGCTCCTGTCACTACTACCACCCAAACTGTCAACGACGACGGTAGTATCACCATTAACACCATCAGCTCGACGACTTTCATGCCCTCGAAAGAAAAGGAAGGCGACAGTGAGGAGTGGGAGGATGCGGAGGAAGACGAAGAGGAGGAGGAAGGAACTGATGAGAAGGCGGAAGAGGAAAAGAAGGGGGACGAAGAGGAGGCTAAAGATGAGGATAAAAAAGATGAAACTGACACTGGCGAGGGCGAGGGTGAGGGCGAAAACGCTGAAGGAGGTGAAGGTGAAGGCGGCGAAGATGATGAAGGTGGCGACGAGGAAGACGAGGAGGAGGATGATAGCGGTTCATCTGGAGGTCCATCAGTCCCCACTGGAGATTACTCTGGTGGCCCAGGAATGCTATCTATCTCCTACAATGATTTGAACACTATTTACTTGGGCCTTCGCGTTTACACGGATAAGGAGGTCCCGGTTACTATCAACGGCAGACTTCCCCTCCGATTCTTGTAATTTTCCTACTGGTTTATGTCGACACTGGGTGGATTTTGGTTTATATCTTAAAAATAATGAATACGGTTATTGTGTTGCAACGTTTAGCACAGCCTATACTTAGAATTTGTCCGTATCTCATTTGTAAAAAGTATGAATTACTTCGGAATTAAGAACGAGTAAAACTGTAAAAACCAGTGCAGAACCGCTGCGCCAGTGTGCCTCACTGTGCCAAGTTTATTGGCCGGAAATGGAAATAGACGGAGTCAAGAGGCGGATCATTATTCGACGAAAAAGATGTATGTAAAATGTATGGAGTAGCCCACCGCGAGGGTCGAACTCGCAGCCTTCAGATTCACTTCAGCGCCCACAGAGCGCCTAAAAGTCTGACGCTCTATCCGATTGAGCTAGGCGGGCTCTGACAGTGTGTTGTATCTATATCTATATCACGAGTATGCTTCCAATACCGAATCTCTTAAGCCTTTCGATCGACTGCAAAAGATATATGTTCGAGGCTAGTCCTCACAGTATCGTTTGAGACTACTCGCCCGCGACCAGCTATGGGCGCATAATATCATCCGGACCGATCGAGTTTCAAGAGAGGAATCCATATACACACGTCAAGAAATATCTTCTAAATGATACCTCCTTTCCCGAGTCCTCGATACTCCTCTATTCTTCTTCCATTGTAATTCTTTGAGTATGGATCTCCTGTTAGGCTTCGAAAGCCTGGATAACGACTTGCCCATTCCTTTATACTCTGCGCAGAGGGCATTTGACGCCACATCGCTTGACTTGCATCGTTCTTGTTCTGATCCGGCGGGTGTTAGGCCCATCGTGAATGAAGCCCATGATGACGGAGGACGTTGGCTGGACGCCATTTCAAGTATCTCCCAGTCGTCTTGGCAGCAACATGATCCATTTTTATTATCTTTTCCATTCGACGACATTTTACTTGCGCAAGGGCTTCATAGGTCCCCCGAAGACACACCCTCCACAGTTTTCACAACGTCTTCTGATATCACCGACTCGCCTGATAGTGGCAATGGCCATGGAAGGCCTGAAGGAAACCTCCTTGCATATCCAACTATCGACGGAGAAAGGGAATGGAGTACCTACAATCCCGTTTCCCTTTCCAGCCCAATGCGAGCTTTAGACTTTTTCCCGCATGATCATAACGTGAACTCTTTTCCTATCACCACAAACGATTTGCTGTCCCACTCTACCCCCTTCACGCCGAATACTTCTCTAGCCGAGTCTGAGATTTTGCGCAATCAGCGAGCTAATTCGATAGCCGTGGACCCAAACTTTGTGAACTTGGGATTGGTACAGTCACCAGACCCCGGGGCGGAGTCCACGTCCACTGCTATATGTGGATCTTTGCTCAACTTCGAAGGGCCTCCCTTCATCCTATCTGCGAGCCTCTCACCGTTCAATCCCGTTACAGCCACGCTGTCCATTTCGAATGCTCTTCCTCTTGGTGGAAGCGCACCAACTGCAACGAGCTCGTTCAAGTCCGCTTCACTTCATGGATGGTCAGATCACGAAACGTCCAATCCGTCTACGAAGGGATCACAGTCAACTCTGCTGCCGCCCGAGTCCAAAACCCTTGCACGAAGACAGAGGCGCCCTCTTATTCCTCTGCATGTGTACATCCCCATCAAACCGCCTACTCGAAGCGCTGCTCAGATTCGACCACCTCCTTCGCAAATCGACATTTCGAAGTCAGAGGAACACGCTCAGCATGCTGCTGATCCCATCTCCGAGATCCCTACGGTTGCACACGAGAGCGAAGCGCGTCAATCCCTCAGGTCCAGCGAGTCCGATGACTATTTGCCTAGCCCTTCTCCTTCCTTGTCGGCCGTTCGTTCGTCTTCGCCTGTGAGCGTGTTTCGCGCATCTCCTCCTCCTCGACGTGCCCCAAAGGCCTCAACAAAGCGAAAGTCCAGACGCGGCCGTGGCAAGGCTAAAGGAAGCGCTGCACTGGCACTCGCTGTCGTCACCCAACTCGGTACATCGGCCAATGACAACGTCGACCCTGTCGCTTTGTATCAGGAAGGAAAACTCAACATGCTTGGGATTAGGAAGCGCAAAAATCACCCGATCCCTCTTCCAATTCCAGTGCCCAACTTGAACAAGAAAAGTCGAGGCAGGAAGGTCCCATATATTGCGCCTGGAGACGAAGGAAAGGCAGAGGCGGGTTTCCTATCTCCTACCTCGGCCTTTTATGATATCGAGGATGCAGAAAGTGCCGAGTCCCCTCCTGTACCAGAAAAAGCGAAGGCGGAGGGTGATTCATACAGCGTGTCTACCCGTAGTCGAAGGCGAAGCTCAGTATCAATGACAGCTCCAGTTGATCCATTGGCGGATAAACGGACGTATGTGTGTGATGTTGCGGGGTGTGGGAAGTGCTTCGTTCGTGGTGAGCATTTGAAGAGACATGTCCGAAGCATTCATACCTATGAGAAACGTGAGTGCTAGCTGAGCTGTCGGAATACGAGTTGACGATACCTATCTTTATTAGCCCACATGTGCCCGTATGAGGGATGCGATAAGAGCTTCAGCAGGAGGGACAATTTGGGGCAGCATGTTCGAATTCATTTGCAGCCTTAGCGCTCGACTGCCTTTATAGTTTGATATTTCGCCGCCTTTGTTTCGTTTTGTTCTGTTATTTTGCATTTAAGTTTTGCTCTTCATTCATTATTTGTTTGAGCATTCCTTTTTAAGAGTCAATTGTGAACGACAATGTGGTAATAGTAGCTTGACGGGCAGACATGCGAGCGCTAAATCTAGTAAGAACACAGCAAGTCTCGATCACTCTAAGGCCTTTTATGCCGTCACAAGCCCTGGATACGACACGCTTCAGTACCTTACGGAACATGCTTGTGAATGTGGGAGGCTACACATGGATTTGGGTGCCCTGACAGATGTATGTTTCCCCGGTATATCTGTGCACAACAAGGCGAAGGTGACAAAGGACATAGGATAAATTGATCCATAAGCCATCCCCGCTTACAAGCATGAAAATCAACTCTAAATGGACATATTCTGTGCCAACAAAGGGAATGCCTTGGCCCAAAGCTCAGCGTGTGCTCGTAGTGCTAGTGAAAGGGCATCAAGGCTCCGTCACACTCAAATGAACACGCTCATTATTCCTTTTATACCGACGAAGGGCCAACGGGGAGGAAATCATATATATACGAAGATAAAATGTAGCATCTACGTCCACAAGATCCCCAGATCACTCACCTCAGTCTTCTTTATTATCGAGCGCTCACCATCTATATTCATGCCAAAAGATATGAGCGCCAATCGATCCAATGCCCGTTAGGGCGTCTATCCGTCCATACCTACGCAAGAGGCTTTAAAGGGGATGAAATGGAAACGACTCGTTCGGTTGAAGCAGGCGAGAAATATTTCGCTCTCTCAGCTCGTTGATACGCTGTCTAACAATTTTGTGTAGGCACTTGGTATCATAGATGCGAGGAGCAGGGAAGGTATAGTTCAATCGCTCCTCGCTCGCAAGGAGGAGATCCAGAGCGGGTTGGCTTCTCCAGTGAAATCAACGAAAGCAAACTGCCCGTCAGAACCGAGCATTGTCAAGCCTCCATGGTTGGAAGGCAACATCTTTTCCATGGTACGAGGGCCCATGAATGTTCCCCCAAAACAAGCAAGAATCCTGAGGAAGGTTGGCGACAAGATACTTCCTCCTCTACACTGTAGCTTTGAACAACCAGTCAGAACTCCATAAAATTTACTGTGTGTTCTATATGTATCATATTTATGTAACAATCCGGGATATGTATCGCTGTCTCCATTCTTTCAATAGACCACGCCCCACCCTGACATCGAACCACACTGTGCACCTGGCAGAAAATCACGCTACAAGCCTATCAAACTTTGCTGTCTATAAAACTGGAAGGGTTTGCATTTGATATTCCATGCACATTGCTGAGCAATGGATGCGTCCACTGTAATTCGCGGTCTAGTAGCATAATTTGCAATCAAACTCTTGCAGTTGCTCAACATTCGGAACTAGATACATAGATATCAACAATGATACAAAATCGACAACAGTGTTGAAACGAAAGTAAAGCAAGCAACAAAATATATCCTACAGGCCCAACATGAAGTAACTTCAAAGCAATTGACTGGTACACAGACGGCGACTTCCTAACGTTGTAAGAATCCCGTGAGTTGACGAAGGCGCCATTTCATGGCTTCCTCAAGGGTGAAGGCGACCTTCCCCGCTGAAGTTGAGGGTAGGCTCTTCTTCTTATCCACCAGCTCCTCTTGTAGTTGCAGCAAAACCGTTTTGTTATTCCTCTCGACGATGTCCCTGATGACCTTCACTGCAGTCTCCCTGTTATTGGAATCAAAGCGACCAGTCATGGCTTTGCGAATAATCATGGGACGCCAGTGGTTGTTCATCAGTAGTTCCTCTCTCTCTCTTCCCATCTGTTTGTCGCGTAGATCGTTCCACATCGTTGTCACGAGGACTACTCGCTCAAATGCGTTAGGCCCTGAAAGACGTTGGAAAACGTTCATGGTATTTTGAATTCCGACATCATGTCGGATATCAGTGATGCGGTGGAGGTAGACCAAACCGGTGAGAAGAATACGTCGTCGGTATCTGAATGTTTCAAAATCGATCATCGAATAGGCGAATGAATAATTATAGTATTACTCTTGTTGACTCATTGATTATTTCAGAACACTCACGTTGATTCAAGCCAGTTCGCGATGATTTCCAAGATATGAGCGTCGCTTTTATCGGGATCATCGAAACCTGGTGTGTCAACCAGGACCAGTGAGGAATGAGTTCTTGGGATCGCAACTTTGACGCATGACACTCGAGTTCTGCCTGCACCGCCGCGGGTGTTGCCAATCTCGAGGCCAGTATTAGAGGTGCCTACCACAGACTGGATAAACTGCAGAAATCAGAAATAAGCAACCGTGTTTTTGCTGAAAGGGGAAAGGCTGTACTGTCGTTTTTCCTGTTCCTGTAGGACCCATAACGCTAAAGGAAACAGCGGTTACTTTGTGCACTGCTTATGGGGGGGGGGGGGGGGGGGCTGTGAGGACCAGCCTACTCACGCGATGACAATATCGTCCACTTGGATGTCTTCTGATTTAACAATACCCACGCTGTCTGGTGTCTCGCCTTCAAGGTCGATGGTCACTGGTTCCCTTTTCCGCTCAGTGTTCTTGCTTTGGCCAGCGGGTTGCGGTCCTGATAGCCTGGGCTCAATCGTCGATCCACTGTTAAGTACCCCATGAGAAAGGTGAGGCGACTGTCAAGCGAAGGCAATGCATACCCTTGGTGCTTGTTCCTCTTATCCAGAGCTTGTCGCCCTTTCTTAAACTCCAACAATTCTCCTTCTAGGTGTTTGACAACGAGCCGAAGGGCTTCCAGC